CTTTTGTACTTTTCTAACAGAACATACATGAGCAAAACTAAATGCCATGAACTGTTCACAACAAGGAGCGAGTAACAGGTCCTACTTTCGAGAGAGCAACTAAGCGATGGAAAGACAATGTAGAGATACCTCATCCTTCTACGTATAGTTCTTTCTCACTTTTTCATTAATACCAACGTGCTCACATCGCAAAATATTCAAGACACTATTTCTTTGCCTTTGTGCTTTATATTGTTGAATTAGTGCACAAAACACCAATTCCTAAATGAAAAAAAAAAAATCCCAATTTGAGTTGGAATGGCTCTTTAAATTCATCCGGTACTCACCGCAGTTCTACCCACACCTGTATCAGATTAAACAAAACTAAATAGAGCCATCCACTTACGACACGATGCAACTGGAAACAAACATTAAAAAAAAAGAATCTTTTTTGAAAGGCAAACATTGCCCTCCGGTGCTCGAGAACGCGTGTGGAGGAGTCTTGTACGCGGGGCCACTGCGACACGGGTCTTCGTCCCAAGCGCGCAGCTATGCGAGGACCCGCGCAATCGGGCACGGCGAGAGCGCGCGCGGAGCAGCGGTCCCCGGGGCCAGCTCGGAAGCCCGCGCAGGGTCCCAGGGCAACGCGACGACGGCGAGGACTTTGCGACACCCCGCCAGCCACGACGCCACACGCCCTGCGAAACGCATTCCGTGCAAATCTTTCATGCAATTCCCTGGACGGCCCTTTTCATTTGCAGCGAACGCCAGCGACGCGCCGGTCCCCACGGAGTCCCGGCACGTAGCGGCACAGCGAGAGCGAGCGCGCTTTTTCCTCGGTATCTGGCGAGAACGAGGAGCGGGCGTACGCTGGGCCTCTAATCCCCCGGCAGAGGCAATCCTCGGCAGAGTACCCGTGCTCCGAGGCCCGCAACGCCCTCCATCAGGCAGACAGGCGCCCCCGCAGGACACCGCCGCTGCACCAGCCCCACCGCGCCAGGGATTCGAGGGCCCAACTAATTCATGCAAACTAATGCCTCGTGCGGTTTCCCTTAGCGATGCACGACCGCTCGGCCAAGACCGCAACTGGCCAGCAGCACCGGCCCTAACGATACCCGTTGCATCGGGTCGAGCTACTTTTTCTTTGCACCTGGGCACCTCTCCACTCGGGGAAACTGTGCGCTGTCTCTGTCTTGCAAAACGCGGTGGTCTTGGAGCTTCATCCAAAGTCTCCAAAAACGCACAACGTAACATTGCAGAATCAAAAATGCGAGGTGTCCAACATAAATTGTCACCGTGCGCGAATCCATCTGACATCGAGACTCTAGAACAAGGCGCGCGGCAAATTAAATGCTGATATTCGCTGATTGGAAACACTTCCAATTAGTAGCCCGAGGAAAAGAAAAGAAAAAAAAAAAAACATATACGCACGCTCCTTGACCTTTCCGGGAGGGTAGTGGAATGGAGAGCCCCGCTACCGGCGAGCTGTCAATGCTCAAATTGGAACAGATGGAAGGCCGACGAGCGTCTGGGGCTGGCCAGACGCGGGGCGGCGGCCGGGCCCGGGACCTGTCCCTAGCCTCGGCGGACCCATCCCAAGGGGCCGGCGGACGAAGCTCATTAAACTTGAACGGGGAGCGCTGCTGCACTTTAGGGCCCGCCGCGCACGGGAAGCGCATATTTCAGCCGTTATTCCTCATCGCTGCGCGTGCCGCCAGGAGTCCCCGGGGAAATGCGACCACCTGAGTGAAGCAATCTACGGGGCCTCCCTTTTCCCGAGAGTACGCCGGAGTGGAAAGGTCGCATAAAAGGGGCCGACGGCAACTACACGCACACACGGCCATCACGGCAGAGGCGGGAGGATGAACCCGCTGCTCTCAATATTTCGCGGGCATACGCGCGCACGACGCTCCACCACGCGCGAGCAAGGTTCGAAGGAGTTCAAACGAAGACGAATGGCAAACAAGACCGAAGGAAACACGCGACAAGTTTAACGCCAGGACGAATCGAGTCTCGCTGTGCTCTAAATCAAATGCTCCGTGAAATTCTGTGGCTCCAGGGCCGCCGCTAGTCATCCATCACACGAATGTTGCATTTCTGCCTCTCGTACGAGTCACCAGTCCTACAACCGCTCGCTCCTTCGCGAAAAGGTGCCTCCACACGCCGGAAGGTGACATCTGCCTACAGACGGTGCTCAGAAATGCGAGCGATTTGCACTGGCGGCACAGACACAGAGGCGGTCAGCGCCCATATCGTCTGCGCGACCGCGTGGCACAGGCGCGCTCTCCGTGAAGGCCCCGGGGTCCCCAGGGCGCAGCAGAGTCCGCGGGACTCCCGCGACCGCTTCATATTTCACGTCATTGTGCGGCGCCGCGCACCGGCCATCCATTCTTAACGAGTGCCCGCTACGTCAACAAACGGGCATTCCGTCCGGGGAATTTCAAAATGGCAACCGTCGTGCCAATGCATATTTCAAGGCGGGGCCTGGCCCGGTGATGGACGGCAGGGACGTTGCCCCCGCGGCCCACGGGGCATCAACAGACAGGTTGCGCCAGAGCAGGCACCGGGCACCCCACGAGCGTCGCCCAACCAGTCCAACCTTCCAATGTCACGCCGGGAGAGCACCCACCCCGCCCACGAGCGTGGCGACCGATGCGGACGACCCCGTGCTTTCTTTTGTGCTCGCCAACTGCCATAGTTGCACGATTATTTAAAGGGGTCATGAAACGATATCGGGTTGGAATGTTCATGACTTCGCAGAGGCGTACAGTGTACTGGTCCTAGTCTGGCCCAACTATACTCGCACGACCGCCACTGATTCAGAAGCTTCTTTAAACGCGGTGAACCTGCGAGGATAAAAGGAGACTATTTCTTTTCCGTCTTGCTTTCCCAAAGCTTGATGACGTAATTGTGGGATCGAGAGCACCCGCCTGACGACAGTCGAGCGCGGCTCATGGATTGGACACAAGAACTGCGTGGGCACTAGACTTCGGCCCGTAACATTAATGCCTCGGCGGACACTCGAGAAGTGGCTCGTGTCCAACCACTGCTGTGATGAGAAAAGCCGAACTCTAACAATACCTGGAGCTCAACACGCGTTTTTTTACTTTGCTAACCCCAGCGCGTGGCTATGATTAACGTTCCCGGCATAGGATACGCACCAGACACGTGGCCGCTTGTTCTGACTCCGAGTTGAGCACAATGCTCACATTTCTCGAATTTTTTCAGTGACTCCCATTGCCTAAATAAAAAAAAAAATAAAAAAATAAAAAACTAAGGCAAGTTTATTCAGTTATTAACGTTAGGGAGTAATTCTAAGTAGTGTTTAGCGAAAGTTGAAAAACCGTTGCATGGGTAGTCCGTGGAATAGGTGGAATATCACTCCAGAATCCCTCGTGCAAACGCACTGATTCCGATGCGACGCGCACACGGGGATACCACCGCCGAACACTTTACATACCCAAATCGAAGCACAGTGATATCCCTGGACACCCCCTCGTTTTTTTTAAACACCCCTTAATTCGCAACGACTCCTCTATTCTAAATGCCCCCCCCCTCCCCCCCTCCAAAAAATGTAGACACACCCCCTAATTTCAATTCCTGGGGAAACCTTTGACAAGGCATACAAAAGGTTCACATCAGATTTGCAAACGTAATTGGTAATTCGATGCCACTATGCTTCGTTTCATGATAACAATTGGCGAACTGTGGAGGCTGCGGCTCCCACGACCCAATAAGAGCGTCGGTGCAAGGCACATGAAAACGCTCCATGGTCGAGGCCACGGAGGCCTCGTTACCGCCACAGCAACAGCGCCGTCCGCGACAAAAGTTTTTCTTTTAACGGCAATTGAACTCTCGCGATGGCATCTCTAGCAACACGACACACAAGATTGACGAGGAGCTGCTACTTGTCAACTATACTTAATTTTGATCAACCCTTTTCCGAGAACAACGTGGCTTTTGAACGTTGTTTGGAAGATCGCAGCCCTGTAATCGACCGCTTCCGCTCAAAAAGTCGCCATGGCACTACCGTCCGCTACAGGATTCGCAGGTAAATTGATCGCACGTTTGTCTCCTGAACTGTTCCCGAAGGAATCGCTACTCTAACGGACCGCAATGTTGCGGCGGTGGACGTTCATCGGAAGTTGGTTGGTTTCGCAGCAGACGACTCTTGGCCATCAGACGACAGCCGGTTCCTCCGGCCCTCGCATTCGGCGCAGTGGCACAAACCATAGCCTCCTCTATACGGAGAAAGCCTGGCACATCGACGACGGAGCCATAGGGCGCGCGGCCGCAGAAAAAAGGAGAGGAGGAGCGCGCCGAACGGTGACCAATATGGTAGCGCAGAGCAGAAAGGGCAGACCTAGACAGCGAGCGCTTAGGTCATGAGAGGCCGCTCCCCGAACCACGCTTGTTTTTGTGTTTTCGTCACCGTCGTGTTTGTACTCCGGGAGAAACGGGCGCGGCGATTCGAAAGGGCGCAGGGAGAAACGGGAAAGGGTGGACGTTGAGTTTCTCCTCTCCACGATAGCGACAAGAAAAGAGAGAGAGAAAAAAAAAAGATTGTTTCTGCGTTTGGCCGCTCGCTCTTTTGTGGCGCTAGCGGGCAAGGTTCTCTCCGCTCCCGTTTCTCCGCCCCTCCTTTCCCATTTACGGCGGCCGTCTTTTCACGCGACGCGCCAGGCTTTCTCCGTATAGAGGAGGCTATGCACAAACGCTCCCGTGACGTGGTGACACGACGCTCTTATTGGGTCGTGGGGGCCGTAGCCTCCACAGTTCGCCAAGTTATCGGGAAACGGAGTATAGTAACAGCTGACCCATAACCCATAAGTAAAATAATTGGACCGAATTAGGTCTAGCGCAGAGACGACGTTTGCGAAGGAAATCGCATGCCCTGGTTACAACCTAAACGTGCAAAACTGCCATATCGTATGCTAAAGGTGCGAATGCTGCGATGCAAATTATTGTTCTCGGGAAATTCAAGGTAGCCAGTGAAAAATGGTCAGAAACTTATTACTCACCTCTTTTAGCAAAGTCACCAGAGGAGTCATGACGTCATACTCCACCAGGGCACTGCATGCTTCGTGGTTTATTGCACTGATGTTCCTGGTGGCAAGAAAAGAGGTTACAACCGCCGAATTCCCATAGGAACCTGAATGGTTAAACATTTCGAAGAACAATGGGCACATGGGAGATAAGTTTTATGCCGTGATTAAGTAAGAATATGAGAAGCAAATGCAAACATACTGGGTGTTTCAACTAAAGACCTTCAGAAAATGCTAAAAATATGCTCGTTGAGATCATATAGTTTTTATAATGTACGCTCGAAGTTCAAAGGGCGCTACAGTCTATGCGACTTCAGGGAGGAAAATTCAAGCATACAGCAACCAGTCTACTTGTGCGGTGCTCCTGTGCATTCCTATGGGGAAACGCGCGTGCATTTTGCCTTTTCGCCGGAAAATAACACGAATCACTTGTTATTTCGGTCGTACAGAATAGTATGTAACTAACTGTAATTACTTTAGTTACAGGATTTTTCGTAACCAGTGAACGATGTTACACTTTGAAATATTTAAGGCCCAAACCTCTGTTCCATGGCAGGTGGTAAAAACGAGCGACAATTCTAAGCAAAATAACAATCGAAAGGAATGCAGAATGTGTTCAAAGTCCACCAGTATTCCGGTTGCGCTTATATATTGCTAATATGCCCATCCTGTCACTATATGATAATGACCCCGTCATACATCTTTACGAGTGGTTAAAAGCGTTCAAACGTAAAGAATAAAGTATGTGGGTTATAAAAGGGGTCTTTTTTTATTATTTCCTATGCCGGGCAGTTTTTATCAGGCACCTCTTCTCTGGCGTCTCCCTATCTCCGAGCGTGCGAGTGATGTTTGGAACGCAGAATAAGCATCCCCGAACATATTCATGAGCAGAAAGAATAAAGCAGTACTGATTTATTGCAAATCAGACTATATTACGTGGCCTTCAATTTATTCTAATCGTCTACATGCACAGGGAGTTACGGATCCAGTGTTAGTGCGTAGTTCTTCAAGTCTTTCTTGGGTTTCCAGATGACCTTCGTTCGTTTGGCACGTGGGTGATTCCACGTCAATTCATGCAATGATGGTCCGGGTCATATTTTAGATATTTTTGTTAAAAATATATATGAAAGCCATGTTTTGGGGAGGAACATTCAGCTAGATATGAACGCCGTAACAATTTTTTTCGCTGAGGTATAAAATAGAGAAGCTTGAGGCGTGGAAATTAAGAAGATTTCACAATGCTACTTTGCACAGTCGTCATTTCCTTATCAAACCTTTCACGGCACCATAACTTTTTTAATAGGTTTTTCAAAGGTTATACACCACACACATAAAAAATTAAAAATATCCATAAAATATTTCAATGCAAAGAAAAATATCAAACATGGCACAAAAACGCGTTTTAGAGACATATTCACAATTTTTTTTTGCAAATAAATCATCTTTCATAATACTTCACAAAACATATCAAAATGCGTGTATTTAAATATTCTTTACGAATATATAAAGGTAATATGCGAACCCTTAAACATATTTTTGTTATCAACGCGGAAATTCGGCTGATTTCTCAAAATGTGGCAAGATTGGGCGTCGATATTTAAAAAACTCCATCTTTTATTTTCTTTAAACTCCCCTTGGCACTTTGCAGTGACTTGAACTAACCTGTGACGGCAAAATATTGAGTAACATATGACCTCCAAGCGGGAAAAGCTACGACAAACCTTCACTCGAAGCGAGCCGACGTCTTCGTCATAGTGGCTTTGCCGCACAGCACCAAACGTTTGGGCGTTAGTTATGGCATGTATTTTATATTATTAAAATTCTTTTTTTATACGCGGTGAGTATTAGTGACGTGAAAAGGAACTTTGAGCTGGAATACCATTAATTAGCTTACAATTCACAGGAATAAAACGGCCCCACTCTGCAAATTCGCTACCTATGCATCATACATAAGCTTAAAACTCTCAGTTGCGCGAATGGCCATGTATACATCTGGCCTCTCGGCATATGATGACTTCCACAGATGAGAAGCCTGGATTCCTCTCACAGGTTTTATGGTGGTCCACTCTGCTTGCTTTACCGCACGAAACTCTCGAACCCGTTCCACAGACAGGTGGAACATGCAGACATTTGTTACTTTTTTTACGTAGCACTTCCACAAAGTCTTTAGCGGTGGCAATTGTTGAGTTGAGCGAAGATCTCAACTTGGTGAGCGTTGGTTCTTCCACCTACTTCATCACAAGCGATTTCTCCGTGTCCAGTGGCTGAAAAGATCCATCTTGCCGAAGAGTGCGGCTTCCGAGACAATTCGTGGAATTGGAAGCGATTCTTGAAATGCGCCGCCGCTCCGTCTGATACAAAAATTAGTTCAAAAAAGACTGGGAAATGAACATTAACATACTCTTTTATGGCCTATGTGGCTAGAAGAGCGTGAGCTGTGTCATGTGTCGTGTACCATCGGTGACAACGGCAAAGCTTTGCGTGCCTTGCTTGGACGTAACCACACTTGTGGAGAGAGACACTTGAGTTTTTTTTTCAATGAAAACTTTGCACTTCGGTTGGAAAGAGTACTGTCCATTTTCACGCAAAATCGAAGTGGAACATCACTGCCTTGGGTGGTAAGGCGGTTCTTGTGTCATGTATCAGGCTTCGTTCAAGGTCAAGGATGTAAGAATGCCTCGTATCCTTTTCGCTCTCCTATTGCCGCAGGAAGGCAGAAGTGTCCATAACCTTTTTGACGAGTTCGCCAGCGTCCCATAACGCGAAACAGATCTCTTCGTCTTCGTCGAGATGAAGCGACTGCAGCGAGATGCTCTGCGTTTTTGGGCACTTTTCGCAACGGCGCAGAAAGCAATCGTTCTGTGGAGCGCAGAAGAGGTAGATGCGCTTGAGGTCGTCTTCAGTAAATGTCTTCTTTGGGGCATTTGTTATTGCCCTTAAAAGCAACTGAAAATTGACGCAATATATGCATGCGCACACCTCGTGCTCGGGACTTTTCTTTACCCTTTTTGGTCGTAGGGAATAAAATTTGGAGATGCCTAGTTCGGGTTGGAGATGGTCCTTCCTAAACAGCTGGTAAGCTTCCTTAAAAGAGCGGGTCATAAACCTTTTTACGACTTTGAACATGTCGTTGATCATGGCTTTGACGACGTCCTTTTTGTCGGGGCTTTGAACAGAGCATGCGAGGTCGTCGCGTGTGTAGTACTCAATTGCAACCCCCACGTCTTCGGCATTCGCCTTTTTCCCCATGTAGGGATCAGGGATTGCCCAAACACCACCTTTGCGCTTCAGTTTTCATGTTTGATCAATCATGTAGGCAGTCGCACCCGACACCAGACGCAATATTGTTTTCTTCAGGATGATTGGTGGCAGAAGCACGTACAATCGCTTGCGTTCCTGGTGGGAACTACATGCCTTCAGCACTTCGCAAAACGCGTCAAACCACTCTGCGCAGTGCTCACAACTGTCTTCGAGTTCGAGAGTTTTGTGCGGTGAAGCAAGCAAAGTGGACCACCGTAAAACCTGTCAAAGGAATCCAGGAAACTCATCTGTGAAAGTCATCATATGCCGAGAGGCCAGATGTATACATGGCCATTCGCGCAACTGAGAGTTTTAAGCTTATGTATGATGCATAGGTAGCGAATTTGCAGAGTGGGGCCGTTTTATTCCTGTGAATTGTAAGCTAATTAATGGTATTCCAGCTCAAAGTTCCTTTTCACGTCACTAATACACACCGCGTATAAAAAAAGAATTTTAATAATATAAAATACATGCCATAACTAACGCCCAAAGGTTTGGTGCTGTGCGGCAAAGCCACTATGACGAAGACGTCGGCTCGCTCCGAGTGAAGGTTTGTCGTAGCTTTTCCCGCTTGGAGGTCATATGTTACTCAATCTTTTGCCATCAACGATTAGTTCAAGTTACTGCAAAGTGCCAAGGGGAATTTAAAGAAAATAAAAGATGGAGTTTTTTAAATATCGACGCCCAATCTTGCCACATTTTGAGAAATCAGCCGAATTTCCGCGTTGATAACAAAAATATGTTTAAGGGTGGGCATATTATCTTTATATATTCGTAAAGAAAATTTAAATACGTGCATTTTGATATGTTTTGTGAAGTATTATGAAAGATGGTTTATTTGCAAAAAAATTGTGAATATGTCTCTAAAACGCGTTTTTGTGCCATGTTTGATATTTTTGTTTGCATTGAAATATTTTATGGATATTTTTAATTTTTTATGTATGTATTGTATAACCTTTGGAAAACCTATTAAAAAAGTTATGGTGCCGTGAAAGGTCCGATAAGGAAATGGCGATTGTGCAAAGTAGCATTGCGAAATCTTCTCAATTTCCACGCCTCAAGCTTCTCTATTTTATATCTCAGCGAAAACAATTGTTACGGCGTTCATATCTAGCTGAATGTTCCTCCCAAGAACATGGCTTTCATATATATTTTTAACAAAAATATCTAAATTATGACCCGGACCATCATTGCATGAACTGACGTGGAATCACCCACGTATATCCTCAATGCTGAAAAGCGCTGACGCCGTGTTCGCGCCAACAGAGTCCGACAGCGCGCATAAATACACACACGAAGTCGTCTTAGCACCGTTTTTAATGCCATGCATTTGAAGTAAAACGCCGTAACTGACCAATTATTTCATCTGCGTGACTGATAACTGTTCCAATCTACCTATTACGTAGGAATTATTTCGTGATAATTGCTCTTATAGTCGAGCGCAGGTAGAAAATGCACTCACTTTTTCCCATGGAAATGCATTGCCGGAAGTCAACTTTCGACTGGTTGCTGTCTGCTTCAATCTGCGACAGCACGCTAACGTCATTTGAACCTATAGCGTACATTATAATACCTCTATGGTTGAGATAAAATTAAATTCTTTCCGAAAACAAACTGCCAGCCGCGGGGGGCGTCAAATTGTAATGAGCTTTTTAGGCATTGAAAGTAAACATACGGTTACATCTAGGAACTTTTGAAGCATAATTGAAAATCTCTAAATCAACTCATTTTAAAAATATGTAAAGCAAATACAACATTTTA